AAGTTAATTCGAACTAATGGCTGTTAGTTCGAATTAACTTTGTAGTGTAGACACTCCCTGACAGTCTCTCTCCATAGCCAGTGGGTGCCCATACTGCTGGTGCCTGCGGTACAGGGCAGGTGCAGTGCCGGGCGGTGGGGTTCTAAGCGGAGCAGTCAGTCTGGGCTCGGTGGGGGTGGGAGGAATTGGGGGGGTCAATCTGTGTCTCACAGCACTTCACCCCCCAGCTCCACCCAAGATGAAGCTGTCCCTGGTCCTGGCACTTGCCCTGCTAGGGGCCGTCTCTGCTCACCAGCTGGGTAAGTTCTGGGGCCCAAGTCCCTGTGGTTACAGCCCTTCCCCCACCCCGGGGGGTGTCTGACCTATAGGCCATCTCCCCAATGGGAACCTCCCCTCCCGCACACCCTGCTTGGGTTGGGTCAGACCCCAGCAAGGACAGGACAGGGCTCCAGTACCCCCAGATCTGTGCTCTCACCGACCCTCAGCCACACTCTGGGCTGGCCACCTGGGTTCCCTGCCCCCACAATCTCCCACGAACTTCTCCATTCCGGACCCCAGCATCCCCTAATCTCCCAATGACTCCCCCACCCTCAGCAGCCCGGACATCAGGGTCCCCTGGCCCCTCCCCAACTCCTGCATCCATGGATTGTTCGAGGGCTGGGCTCTGTCTTGCGGCTGGAAGGGTCCACTGGTGTGTGCACCCCCCCAGATGCAGGTGCCCTGGAGCAGCAAGGACAGGACAGGGCTCCAGTACCCCCCGATCTGTGCTCTCACCGACCCACAGCCCCACTCTGGGCTGGCCACCTGGGTTCCCTGACCCCACAATCTCCCCCGACCCTCTTCATCCCAGACCCCAGCATTCCCTAAACTCCCAATGACTCCCCAACCCTCAGCAGCCCGGACACCAGGGTCCCCTGGCCCCTCCCAACCCCCTGTATCCATGGATTGTTCCAGGGCTGAGATCTGTCTTGGGGCTGGAAGGGTCCACTGGTGTGTGCACCCACCCAGATGCGGGTGCCCTGGAGCAGGAGATACGAAATGAACAGGGCAAGGTGGAGTCTGGGGAGCCAGAGCCACCCTGCCCCATGGAGAGCGAGACCTTCCGGATGGTCCCTGCCGTTATGTGTTTGTGAACAGTTGCCAGACCTTTTGGAATGCCCAGGTGAGTGGGCAGGGGGCAGGTGGTGGGGGACTCACAGATGGGTCAGGAGGTGGGGTGGGAGGCCCAGAGAGGCAGGGGAGGGAGCATGGGGCAGTGAAGGCATCGGAGGGGAAGCAGGGATGGCGTGGGGAGAGTTGATGGCATGGAGGGTGGGGGGTTTGGGGCGGGGGACATGGAGGCAATGGAAGGGCAGTGGGCGGCGCCTGGATCAGTGGAGGGGGCATAGGGACAGGAGGGAGCATGCGGGGCCCAGGCTGGCAGATGTGTCGGTGTGCCCAGGACCCTGGCTGCCCCCTGCCCCCCC